GAATTGTATGGTGCTTATAAAGCAAGTTGGACAGAAGACAGTTCTACATACTTGGTAAGCAATAACAGAATAGTTTGGGTTGGAAGGGGCCTTTAAAGTTCATCCAGTCCAACTCCCCTGCAATAAGCAGAGACATCTTCAACTAGATCAGACTGCTCAGAGCCTCATCCTGACATTGAATGTTTCATTGTAAAATGCTTCTTCCTTCTATCTAGTCTGAATCCAGCCTTTTTGAGTTTGGAACTACCACCCCTTTTTCTGTCACTACAGAGAGGAGGGGCACATGCATTTTAAAAATAGCTTGTGCACCTCAGATGCTGCAGCTGTGTTTCCTGTACTCATGTAAACAGCATTGCTGCCCATGACTGACATATGAATCTTTTTTCCTGTAACTTACCTCACCAGATGTTTCATCTTCTAAAGTAATCTGAGTTGGTGTTTCAACTTCCAATGCAACCTGTAATAAAATGATTAATTGCATTATAGGATTTACTGAACACTGTGTTTCATGTTTATGTCTAGTTATTTATTATGTAGACATCTGTAGCACTCACTGTGGCTAATGCTAAGCTGTAAAATTAAACTCATTTTCCCATAGTAAGTCATAAATTTCCATTTCCAGTGGAATAAATTTTCCTAAAAGTTATCTAAAAATTAAATGGAGATACCTCAGGCAAGGTGTGCATGCCTAAAAGAGTTAGAGCATGTTGGAGTTCTATCAGCAACAGCTCTTGTTCCTCTGGATGGATCACATGCCTTGTTTTTGGATGACTGCAAAGCCCAAAATCCCTGTCCCACAGCAGTGGATCTTGCCAGGACATCTCTGTACTGCAGGGCTTCCCACTGCCTCCAATACCAGAAGCAGAGCCCACAAATCACTGGAAGGACATATTCCTGTATTTGTGCAGAGATAATTATTTTTATTTCTGTAAAAAAACCCCATGTTCTGTTTTATAATGCCTATTTTATAATTAATAATTATTATATAACTATTATAATATATAATACTATATTTTATTATATGAATAGATATAATAATTATGGTATATTTATTTTTATTTCTGTAAAAAAACTCATGTTCTATTTTATAATGCCTGCATCTGCAAAGGGAAGGAAATAACTTCAAGTTGCACCTGTAAATAACACTGATCCTTTGCACTCTGGCTCCAAACACTGGAAATCATGTAAATTTATGAAATTTTTCAGTGATTTTATATTACAACTTCTTCATGTTATAGTCCATTTTCCAAAAAGCAAAAGGAAAATCATATAATTTCAGATTATATACATTACAAGCAATAAGAGACTTTCAATAAAGCCAAAGAGAAGTAAAGGACAGAAGCAAAGAGACAGGAGCAAGGTAAGAAAATGAATACAAATTCAAATGTACAAGTGATCAATGTAAGGATGAAGGCCATGTAAAGCTGAGGTTGAGAGAAAAGGAAAAATTTTGTGGGGGGGAAAAATAATTAAACAACAAACAGCAATAAAGCAATGCCACAGAGCAAGCAGTAGGAGAGGCACACTGTTGGCACTCAAGCCCTGAAACACTCTATCAACACCAATATCCAGACACTCCTGAGGAGCAGAGAGCTGCTTCTTTCTGAGAGTCACTGCTTGGAAAGTGCTGTTTTCAAAATAAACACAAACTCACAATATGATTCTCCCAAAACTTGTATTTCCAGTTAGTCAACAACAATTCCTTAGTTACTGGTGAGCAGTATAGTTTAACTTTCAAGCTGTGAGGAGACAAAAAACACAAATAAGTGTTTTTTAAAGTAGACATGAGGAACAGTCTAACAACACATCAGCACCTGGCACCCAGAACATCAAACCCTGCCCTCAGAAACCTCTCATGTGAGGAGAGCTGCAGAGCTGGAAGCCTGCAGGCTTCTCCTCAGCACAGCAAACCCAGACCTACCCCTGCCTGCATGGTTTGCAGACACAAATGCAGCCTGTGGTACATGGTCATGACCTATCTGCTGTTTCTCTACCCCTGCACACACCCCTGGAACAGGCACTAGGCACATCCAGCACACAGCAGAACACACAATACTCGTCATGAAGCTTGAGCTGATGCACAGAGACCTGATGAGCAAGGAGATTCTCTGCTTGCATCAAAGGAGATGCAATATCTACTCTAATAAATCAAAGAGAGCCTAGGAACTGGCCCACAATTTCCCTGAGCTCATTGCCACATTTGGTCATCCTCATGGTGACAAAGGTGTCCCTTGCCCTTTCTTTATGCACTTCCATGAAAAGTCTGGCTCCAGCTCCTCTACCCTACCTGCAAGCAATGAAATATGATTGTCTCCTACTCCTAAGGCTGAAGACATCCAGCTCTCCCAGCCTCTCCTCACACGTGACATGGCCCTGGCCCCAGACCAGCGTGCTGATGCTGACACCTATCAATTTACCACCCAGGGGAGCCCAGGCTGGACACAGTACCCCTGAAAAGTCTCACAGATGCTGCCCAGAGGGGAATAACTGTCTCCCTCAACCTGCTGGTTACCTGCTTGCTTATACACCTCAGAGAGCACAGCTGGCCCCTTCACTGCACAGGCACAGCACTGAACATTTCCAGAGATCCTCATCAAGCTCATAAACATGGAGTTCAAGGCCAAGTGTACCTGAGTCTGGGCAACCCCTGCTATCAAAACAGACTGAGGGATAAATGGGTTAACAGCAGCCCTGCAGAAGATTTGGGGTACTGGTGGGTGAGAGGGTGGCCATGAGCCAGCAGTGTGCATATACAGCCCAGAAAGCCAATCTTATCCCGGGCTGCATCACCAGCACTGGGCAGCAGGACAGGGCAGGGGGTTCTGCCCCACTCCTGTGAGCCCCACTGCAGGGCTGCACCAGCTCTGGGGCCCAGCACAAGGACAGGGACCTGTTGGGGCAGGCACAGAGGAGACCAGCAGGATGCTCACAGGGCTGGAGCACCTTTGCTATGGAGACAGGCTGAGATAGCTGGGGTCCTTCAGCCTAGAAAAGAGAAAATTCTGGGGGGACATTACTGCTACCATTTGATATTTAAAAGGGGCTTTTAAGAATTATATAGAGGGACTTTCTACAACGACACAGTGTGGACAAGGGGACTGACTTCAAATTGAAAGGGGGCAGGCCTAGATGAGCTACAAGGAAGAAATTTTTTACAACGAGTGAGGATGGTGTGGCACTGGAACAAACCGCCCAGAGAAATTGCGGATACCCCATCCCTGAAAGAGTCCGAGGCCAGGTCTAGTGGGAGGTGTCCCTGTCCCGTTCCTACCCTGGGATTGATGACCCATGGCAGCTCCTCCCACTGTTCAGCTCAAGCTTTGCCGCGCACCGGCCACTTCCCCCTCAGGCCGCCTCCCCCTGAGGCCGCC